CATTAAATATTTTCCTGGTCTACTCCCCATCTATACCTCTCACTTGCCACTCTATTAAAAACTCTTCTCCTCTCCTCCTCCATCAATGTCTCTAGTTCTTCTTTCTTTTTTATTACCTTCTGTCTTGTCTCTTTTGTTATTCTATTTTTATGTATCTGCTGCAGGTCAAATATTTCTTTTAACAGCCCAGTAAGTTTCTCTCTTCTTTCCCTTTTGTTTTTGCCCGGACGCGATCAATATACCTCTTATGTAGGCCTTATGGGGCTCCCATACTGTAGCCACTGACACTTCCTCTGTCTCATTCTCCTGAAAAAATCTTTCAATCTCTTCTCTAATCTTCTGATCAATCTCCTGATCCAGGAGAAGAGCCTCATTCAACTTCCACCCTATACCACCTGTCAACCGCCTCCCCCATTCTAATTTCAATATAACAGGGTCATGGTCTGAGAGAGACATTGCCTCTATTTCTACTTTAGCCACCATCTCTATAAGTTAATGATCAACCAATATATAGTCCAATCTTGAATAAATCTCTTGTGCATTAGAGAACAAGGTATAATCTCTCTCCTTTCCATGTATTATTCTCCAAAAATCTTTCAGTTGACACTCATGCATCACCTTCTTTAAAGTTCTCAGAGACCTACCTGCCTCTCGCTGCACAGAAGAGGTCATATCCATTTGTGGATCCATACAGAAATTCAAGTCCCCTGCCACTATCAAGCGTCCCTTTTTGAAGGCCATCAGTTTTCTCAAAACACCTTTCAGATATAACGCCGGTCTCTTATTTGGGCAATAAATATTCACAATTGTACATTCCATCTCTTGTACTCTACCTTTCAAAAACAAAAATCTCCCCTCAGTATCTATTTCTCTCTCCTCTATCTCCAACCTTATGTTTTTTGCAAACCCTATTGCTACTCCCTTAGCTCTCTTAATTGGGTAATCTGCATAAAACCATGTTGGGTAATTTCTAGAATTCAACTTAATATTTTACTTAATCTCAAGATGTGTCTCCTGCAAAAAAACCACCGAAGCTTCTCTATGTTGCAACTCTTTAAATAACTTAAATCTCTTCCCAGGACAGTTCAACTCATTTACATTATATGTTATAAACCGTAAATCTTCCATATTTCTTGTATCTCTACTTTTATACCCTCCTTCTATCATGCAGAGTGTTGTCCCTAAAACCCCACCCACACCACCTCCCTTTCGACTCCCTATCCCACCCCTCCTCTCATCTATCACCTCCCACCCCTCCCCCCCCTCCCATCCCACCCATCTCCCAATCCATTCCCTCCCACCCCACCCCCATCCCCCCTCACTACCCCTCCCATTTTTAGACTTCCAATTTGCCTACTAACCATTTGTGGGCCTAATCCCACCTTTGGTTCGAACCTTGGGTTTAAACTCTGCCCATGAACGGCTCTCCCTCCCTCCAACCTCCCCAATTACCCCCTATCTATTTATTTAACCTGGTAAATTACCACCAGCCTTTAAGAACTGAGATCCAGGGGAGATAAAGTAAGGTATAGGAGCAAGGGAAAAAAAAAAACCCTCCCTACTTTCCCCCCCCCTACATAGTGCCAGTCCTCTTTTCCCATAACTCCTCTTTCCCTATCTTCTTCTTCCCATCCAGCAATCTCTAATCTCTGCAAGTCCAATCTATCACAGAAGTCTCTCAAGTCTTCAGGGAACCTCAAATAAGCTGTAACTCCATTCTTTCATCCGATTAGGCACTCTGGGGTCCCCCATCTATAATGCACATTCTGCTTTCTTATCTGCTCTAACAAGGGTTTCAAGGATCTCCTTCTCCATAAAGTCTCAGGTGTTAAATCCGCAAAAATCTGAATGTCTATTACTCCATACTTAATATTTGTTCTTCCTTTGATCTTCCTCCAAACCCCATATTTATGGAATTGAGCAACTATGTCTCTCGGTTTTTCCCTCCCGTTACCGTTTTGAAACTTTCCTATTCTGAAAACTCCATCCAATTTGATCAACTCTGTATCAGGTCTGTCCATTATGGAGTTTACAATTTTACAAACTACTACCTGCAATTCTTCCCCTTTTGAAATCTCTGGGACTCCATGTATCCTAAGATTACTTCTCCTGTCCCTGTTTTCCTGTACCTCCATCTTATAAAGCAACTTCTGAACTTTCCCAATATTAGTTATCCTTTTTTATAATTCGGATATGTTTTGGGGCTGGTTTTTAACTTTCTCCTCCATTTCTTCCACTCCCAATAACAACTGCCCCAAGTCATTCCGCATAATTGCCATTTCTTGCTTTATTGTTTTCTCCAGATTTTTAAACATTTCTGCCATCTCTTTTTTATTCGGTACTTGTAGTTCACTTTCAAGATCTTTCACCTCCATATTTACTACCATTTCTTGACTACTACTATTCATACTCGGCAATAGTCTAGGACTGTTTTCCAAACTAGTTTCCATTTCACCTTTTTCGTTTACACCTTGAAACCTTCTCGGGTCACATTTCCCTGGGATGTATATTTTTTAATCGTATCAGTTTGGGACCCTTTGGGTCCACTTCCTTTAGCACTTTTGTTCTTCATATCTTCTGTGTATCTTATTCTCTTCTACACAAAGCTCAGGATAAGTAAATATTAGATTTATATACTGGGAACTCAGACTTGGCTTGTTATGCGTTCATTTCCACTCGTTTCTAATTCTCTCAGTCCTCTCTTCTCTCCCACTCCTTCATGACCCCTGGGAATCCCCCCTTCTCTCCTTCACCTCCTGCTCCTCTATATGGCACTGTACAACATATCGCCTCTTGCAAGCCCCAGCCGCTCTCACTCGCCCTCCTTACTTTTCTTGCGAGACGGCTCCGGGCTGCAGATGTCAGTTTTTTTCCATTCAAGTTCAGTCCTTAGGGGGATTCCTCAGGGTCTCTTCTTTTCTTTATTCCCCCATTTTAGTAGGGGACCGGCCAGGGAAAACGGGCTGGGACACAGGCTTGACTCCCCTCCACAAAACCGCTGGCACACGAACTGGGGAGCGGACGGCGTCTCCTTCTCTCCTCGGGACGCCGGCCGGCTTCCCCCTCTCCCAGCGCTCCTTTGCGACTGACCACGTGGTCCCGCCGCGTCTCCTCATCTCCCGGCAACCCGACACAACCGTCCTGAGTCCTCACCGGCGTACTCCAGGAAGACCGATCGCTGTCTCCAGCCTCCAACCCTCCGTGCCACAGTTCCTTCGCCGGGTCCGCCGAGACCTCTCTCCTAGAGGTGAGTCTCGCCTGGTTTCTTCCCTACATTAGGGGGGCCCCTGGAGGGGTCAGAAAGTGGAGCTTGTCAGAGAGCTCCTACAGCATGCTCTCAGCCGCCATGTTCAGACTCCGCCCCTTTGCTCTGGCCTTAAACATCTGGTTTCCAAATGAAGCAATCCCCTCTGGATGATCAATGTGCATTGCAAGGATTTTAACAAATTTTGTTGCAGGCTTATGCTCTGAAGAAAAGGCTGTTTGTCTACATCATTGTGCCTAGTGAATCTAAATAGAAGTGACTTTTTCATTATTGATCAGTTGATGCACTTGCAGTGTTATAATGAGGAAAGTTGCAGGGTCGTCATACCTTTTTAGAAGTAATTAACCCTTTGGGAGTATCTCACCAAAAATTTAATTTTGCTGCAAAGTATGCCTAAAATCTGACTTCTGTCTTAGTGCAGACTTCTGGGAAGATCAGTGGGCCAATCATACAAACAGGAAATGACATTTCTGGGAAAGTTCTGTTCACAACTGTGTACGGAAGGCCTCCAGGCTGCCATATTGCATTCAATTTTACAGAAGATTACAGTGTTGCAGATTGAAAATTATAACTATACACTATAGTTTTTTTGTTTATTTGCTATTTTCCCACAAAAGTAGAGTTACCCTTTAAGTGCATGTATAGGGATTCCATTGCCAATGCACCTACGTAAACTGAAAATTTGTTTTGTTAAGCAAATTCCCCATGGACTTTCTTTTTTTTTTTCTTATTGCTGTTAATGCGTATGCTAAAATCACCATGTCTTTTTCATTTTATAATGATAAGCCATAACCACCCACCTAATATTGAATAGGTCCTAATTTGTCTGCCAAAACTGCTCCTTTTGCTAGCAAAACAGCCCAGACCCATTGAAGCATGGATGCCACTAGACGACTGACAGTATACTATCCGGCACCAAGCTGTCAGTAGCAAATCCTTTAATTCATATAAATTGTAAAGTCTGGCCTTCATGGATTGGGATTGTTTTTCCAGCACATTTTACAGACACCTGCCATCAGGGAATACCATTTCCATGAAGTTGTGTACTTGTTCAGCAACAATGTTTAGGTAGGTGGTATGTGTCAAAGTACCATCTGCACAAATGGCAGAACATTGCTCAGAGCATCACACTGCCTATGACGGCTTGCCTTCTTCCCATACTGCATCTTCCCAAGGTAAGTGAGGCACACGCACCCAGCCATCTATATGATGTAAAAGAAAACATGATTTATCAGACCAGTTCACTTTCTTCCATTGCTCTGTGAACCAGTTCTTATGCTCACATGCCCATTGTAGTTGCTTTTGGCTGTGGACACAAGTAACCTTGAGCACCCTCACTGGTCTTCAGCTACGCAGCCCCTTAGGCAACAAACTGTGATGCCCATTTTTTTCTGTGTTTAACATATTAACTTCAGGGGCAACATGTTTACTTGCTGCCTAATATATCCCACTGATATTCATATGCCATTGTAACAAGATAATCAATAATATTCACTTAACCTGTCAGTGGTCATTAAAGTCATGGCTGATCAGAGTATATTAATTTACATTTATGTCCCCCTTTTGACAATAATGTCTTTATGTGACCTCTCACTACGCTCCTTTATTTCTTATCCAAGAGTTGGAAAACAAATAGGCACAGCAAATAGTTGTATGTTTTCAATAATCTTGTGCTTTGTTCTGTTATGGTATTCTATTTTGTACATTGTATCAACTTTACATTCTTTTTATCTAGGAATCCAGCTAGAAAAAGTGTTTGACTACAGCGAGTACTGGGAGGTCACAAGAGGTCTTTATGCTGCCTTTGACTGCACAGCAACTATGAAATCTGGAAATGCAGATGTGTATGAGAATGAGATCCCTGGTGGCCAGTACACCAACCTTCACTTCCAAGCTCACAGTATGGGGCTAGGCAACAAATTCAAGGAGGTGAAAAAGGCATATGCTGAAGCAAACAAACTTCTTGGAGATGTCATTAAGGTACTAACATTTCTTGTATGATTTGAAGTAGTAGATTTGTGAAAAGTACTTGGTATGTATGGACTGATAAATCATAACTAGTCCCTTTTCACATAAAAAACTGTGCACAGTATGGAAATGGCAATGCCAGCCTCATCCTGCACACAGATTTTTCCAGTTCTTGAGGCAATAATCCAAGTGCCAGCCAACTGAGAGTGATCGTCACTGGGGTCAGTTATAGCTGTCAACCAGAGCCATCTTTAATATTGATTAAACCTTGGGCGAAGAACTTCTTGCCTCCACACACCCCCCCATGCAATTTCTCTCTCCACCTGCTCTGAGACATACAATTAATAGCAGCTAAACTCAAAATCAGTTTACTGCAGCAGGTCAGGCAGCAATTGCAATTGATTGACGGAGGTTACAGCACACATTACAGCTCACTGATTAGTTGCTAGAGGTTATAGCATATGATTTCTGCTTGCTGATTGGTTGCCAGAGGTTACTGCAAATCCTTGCTATTCACCGATTGGTTGCTAGAGGTTATAGCACTTAATTACATCTCACTGATTGGTTGCTGAACATTACAGCACATCATCTCTTCACTACCTGCATACCATGGACTGAAAAAGTTAGGGGACCCACCAATATATAGACAACTCCTACGACTCCTGGGGGGGGGGATGATATAAGTGGCAGTGCTGGAGGGATAGGATAAGTGACACTGCTGATAGGAGGAATGGGATCAGTGTCAGTGTTTGGGAGGATGGGATCAATGGCAGTGCTGGATGGGGATGGGAGGTGACATTTCTACCACCAATGTTAGGGGGGACTAAAACTGATGACCAATGTAAGGGGGATTTACACTGACCACCAGTGTAAGGGCAATTCTACACTTAGCACCAATGTAAAGGGAAATTTACAGTGGCCGCCAATGTAACAGGGAATTTGCACTGAACACCAATGTAATGGGGCATTTCACACCAACAACCAATACATTTCTACACTGGTCACCAATGTAAGGGGGAATTTACACTGACCACCAGCAGAGGTGTTGGTGGATGGAACCTCAGGAGGGTGGCATAATATACATATGAATGCCACATTACTGCCTCTCTTTACATATGAATGCCACATTGGTGCTGCTATTAACATATGAATGCCACCGTTATTTCCACATGAAGTATACATACATGAATTGCAGAGCTTGAGTGTATAATACAGGGAATTAACATGAATAGCAGATTAAAATGTTCATATTTCAACATGCACCAGATTCCACATTCTTAAATTGTTGTAAACAGTAATCAGATAAGTAATGAAGATCTATCCGACTAATCAAGGTGCATATAGTGATGGTGATGTTAAAATCATAAGTTCTGTGATGTATCCAAAAAAATCCGTGACTTCCGTGATAGGGGAATGACTGTATAATGCACTAACCAGATAGCGCAAGTACATGCGCATTGGAGTATAATGACCTACTCCTGGTCACAGCCAGATGGTCCTCAGCGTGAAGCCCTCAGGAACACCAGTGCACCACTCTTGCCGTCTCCTACCACCAGGGGGAGTGCGCCTCTTTACAGTAACACGAAATCACTTTATATCCTCTATCGCCAGGATTGGTGTACTTTCTTATCAGGAGATCATCTCAGGGGCTCAGCAATAAGACCCAAAAGAAAGAAATCTTGATAGTGTAGTATTTTATTCAAAAGTAAAAAGTAAGTAATACACTTACATGGTAATGTCCAAAAAGCTGATGCATAGAATCCAAAAAGATGGCCGACAGTCAGATGCATGAAACAAGTGGATAATCAATGGTGTGAGAGGTGTCCTTATCCCTAACGCGTTTCGTGGCAATGGCACATTATCAAAGGGAATGTGCCTCTCAACCATGGTCCCTTATATATAGAGGACCTCTTAATTGTGAAAAGGACGCATTTTTCGCGTCATTTTAGCGCTACTGCGCATGCGCGAGGCTATGACGCCCGCGCATGCGCAATGCAAGCCTCCCGCATCATCGCGGATAACCCGCGCATGCGCAGATCGTATCCGGCGGCCATTTTATAGAAGACCAAGACTGCAGAGCCAGAACAAGGGATCCACAGCCCAGACAAAGGAGGGGTTTTTGATGGGAAAGAACCAACCCAACACATCTTACCATGCCAGGAGATCTCAACATCACAGCAATCATTAGGGGAGAGTGAGGAGGAGATAACTTTATTATGCAAAGGGATAAACCATGCCAAGTGCTGGATGTAAATATTGAATCATGGTGTGGTAGAACTACAAGTCCCAGCCCCCTAAGTTCATGCAAAAATGCCAGGGGCCATCAATATAGATTTTAAAGGTTACACACAACACCAGAAATTTCATAAAATGAAAGTTAAAATCGACAGTAATTAAAAACACAATCACACACAGCCAATGCAATGTGCAAAATATAAAAAGCGAACTGTCTTATAAATCATGATAATCATATGATCTAAATGTTAATGTTGATCATAAACATAACATAAATGGTCATGAAACATAATGAAAAATACAAATAAAATAAAACACCAATATCAAAATAGCCCCTAGGGTATTCCCTAGGAAACTATGATTAAAACTAAAGCAACCCCCATATAGATCACTGGGGGCATTAATAATACCTAACATAGTGGGACATATCCACGTAAAAATTTGTGTACCAATGGTATAATGGATAATTTGGATAATTTGGATAAAAACCAGTGCGAATAATGCGTATTGAGCAGAAAAAGAAGAATAAGCTCATAATCCAGCTAATTAGTGGAAAAGGGGGCTGGGGGGGAAGAGAAGCCCCTCGAGGTAAGATAATGATGTTATAAAACCATAATTTCCCCCGGAAACCCTAAAGATACATCAATGTCGATAATATATACATACTGGATATTTGCTGAGATGAAGCAAGGACAACCCAAAAGGAATTACCTGGTATCCAAGAAACAATTTATGTCCACATCAATATTTAACCCATGTGGGGCAAGTGTTCTTAATAAAAAAAATCCATTTAGTTTCAAGTTTTGAAACTGCTCTTAACTTGTGTACTCCTCTCCAGTGTTTATGTATTGTGTCAATTCCTATAAATCTCAAGCCATGTGGGTTCTTATTATGCGCTTGGCGGAAATGTAAGGAAAGTGAATGTTCCTTGAACCCCTTGTTAATATTCTTAAGGTGCTCCCTCAATCTGTCACGAAGTCTCCTAATAGTCCGTCCCACGTATTGCTTCCCGCATTTACACCCCAATAGGTATACAACATGGGTACTATTGCACGTGATGGTAGATTGAATTTCATATGTTTTACCAGTTGTGTTGGAACTGAATGTGGTTACTGGATATTTATGAATTCCATTATTAGTGCATAGCATGCATTTATTACAGGGGAAGAACCCTTTCCGGTTGAAGAAAAAGGAAAGTTGTTTTGGTGGGTTAACAATGTTGGGGGCCAAGGTGTTTCTCAGAGGTGGTGCCCTACGGTAAGTAATTTCGGGGGCTTCCGGTAAATGACTCCCCAGCACCGGATCATCTTTAAGAATTCTCCAGTTCTTTCTGATAATACTAGCTACATCCCTAAATTGAGTAGAAAAGTCAGTGATAAAAGGGCAGTATCTCTCAGTGTTAGTCTTTTGCTTAGTGATGATAAGACTATCTCTATTCATGCCCCCCACCTTGTCCCTCTCAACCTCAAGCATATTAGCGTTATAGCCTTTTTCAACGAATCTCCGTTTAAGGATCTCAGATTGGAGGACATAGTCCTCTTTTTTGTCACAATTTCTGTAGATCCGAAGAAACTGTCCCCTTGGTATGTTGCTCAACCATCTCGGATGATGACAACTATCTTTAGGGATAAAGCTATTCCTGTCTGATGATTTAAAATAACTCCTAGACAAAATTTTCGGGCCCTCAATGTATAATGTCAGGTCAAGAAAATTGATTTCCTGATTACTATATTGGAAGGTGAGTTTAATATTCATATCATTAAGGTTCAATGTAGTAAAGAAGTTATTCAAGGTAAATTCATCCCCTTCCCATAGGAGCAAAATATCGTCGATGTACCGACGATAAAACAATAATTGTGGCCACTCTCTGGAATAAATGAGATCCTCCTCCCATCTTGCCATAAATAAGTTGGCAAGACTCGGGGCAAACTTCGCGCCCATGGCGACTCCAGTGATTTGTAAGTAGAATTTGTTACTAAACCAAAAGTAGTTGTGGTTCATAGTATAGTCAAGAAGTTCTAGCAGAAATGCCTTTTGTAAGGTTGGTATATCGTTAGCTGTATTAAGATAGTATTCAGCAGCGGCTAGTCCATCATCATGGTTAATGTTGCTGTACAAAGCCGCGACATCAGCGGTAACAAGAAAGGTGGGTTGTTTCAAAGTGACTTCTCTGATGTCTGCCAACACCTGTTTTGTGTCTTTGAGGAAAGCAGGGGTAGTGCAGACCAAGGGTTGGAGGAAAAAATCAATGAATTCACCCACGCGGGAGCACAAGGAGCCAATTCCACTAATAATGGGGCGGCCGGGGGGATTCACAGGATCTTTGTGAACCTTTGGTAAACAGTATATGACCGGTAGTCGAGGGGCAGCGGGACATAGGTAGTCCTTTTCTTTACCATTAATAATCCCCTGTTCAAAACCTCTTTTCAATATTACCTTTAAAAGTTTTTAGTAAGTAATAAGGGGGTTATTTGGTAACTCTTTATAGGTATTCGTGTCCTTCACGATATTCCCTACCTGTAGTGTTTTATTTTATTTGTATTTTTCATTATGTTTCATGACCATTTATGTTATGTTTATGATCAACATTAACATTTAGATCATATGTTTATCATGATTTATGTGACAGTTCGCTTTTTATATTTTGCACATTGCATTGGCTGTGTGTGATTGTGTTTTTAATTACTGTCGATTTTAACTTTCATTTTATGAAATTTCTGGTGTTGTGTGTAACCTTTAAAATCTATATTGATGGCCCCTGGCATTTTTGCATGAAC